CCTGTGCCTTCCAGCCAACAATAGACAGGTATACGAGCTGAACATTTCCCTGAGGTAGATACACTCCTTGGAGAGAACAATCATGGGAGAAAGAAGGGCTGCTTATGCACAGGGAGACAGCTCAGGGGGCAGAAGTGCATGGAGGGAAGGACACTGGGAAGAGGTAACTATCAGGAGGAAGTAGGAGGGGAGATGTTGCATTGTGGTAAACTGTGGTCAATGTCATGAGACAAAGTGTATGCGAACTGCTATATGGAAAGTGTATTTGCTCTGTAAATTTTCATCCAAATCACAATAAATAGAAAAAATAAATAATTTATAAATCCCTTCCCAGTTCCACAATTACCAGAAGCACTTTAAAAGTCATTGGTCATCACATCTAGGATGAGACAGTGCATGGTCTTAATAGCAACTTTTTGTCAGTTGAAGAGCCCAGGTTTCCATGGTGCTTCTGCCCCTTCCCCTGTAGCTGTCTGAGCTGATGTAAGGGCTAAGAGTGGAGAAGGAACAGCATGATAATTGGCTGTCCACTGGGCTCTGTGTTTGTGTGGAGAGGGGCTGTGCAACATATAGAGGATGCCAAACTGAGGCCTAGACATACCTGCAGCTGGAGGCTCAGGGCTCTGTGCTTCACAGCTGAGATGTAGAGGGCGTGACCCATGAGGATCTGTTCTAGGCGCCGCCTCCACTCACTCCACCATACCCTGTCAAAGAGCAAATTGAAGATGGGACCAATGAGGAAAAAACCATCCAGAAAGACAAAGACAAAGACAAAGGCAGGCAGGCAGGCCTGGGCCTCAGACCTTCAGCTCAAGTACCTCTCCTTCAACATGTGATCTCTAGACTGACACCTGCTAGAGTCAGTGTCGAAAATAACACAATCAAGAAACAGTCACAGGACTGCTGATTAGGGGCTGCACACTGATGCTCTGTTTGCCTCACACAACTTTTAAACATATACTGGCAACATTTAAAAAGCAGGGGATTTTTTTCTGTAAGTCTCTTTCTTGTGCTCTTTTTTTTTTCCTTTTCTCCCCTTCCCAGATTATACTTTCTTTTTTCACATTTGTCCTTGGGTTTTTTTTTTAATTTCCATTCTTTTTTTTTTTTTTCTTCCTGTGGTTGGTTGGTTGTGCTTTTTTTGTATTTTTTTTTCTTCTGTAGTATTTATTATTTATTGCTGTTTTCTGTCCCACCTGCTGGGAGACAGCAACTATACCTACACTCCACAACTTCTGTAGCCCCATCCACAGAATGAGGGTCATCACCTGTTTCTGGACCAACTACTCAATGATAGATGGCAGCCAATACCAGCCCAACACACTCTCAACTGCTCTACATGAAGGACAAACAGAGAACTACACACACATTCTCATCCTCTGTCACACCCACTAAGAGACAGATGAGATAGGTGACAGCCAAAGTGCTGTCAAACTAGCAAACAGAGTAGCACACCAGACCTGCTCACTCAGATATATCAAAACAAAATAGACCAAAAACACAAAAACAAACAAACCTGGGTAAATCATACAAATATACGACCACCAATTCAATATAAATACAATGACATCACAATGTCTACAGACAATTGACAAATCAATAAATCCCAGTTCACACAAGAAGCAAGATAAATATTTCACAAATAGGTAACACATTAAAAGGGCAAAGGAATAGAATTGGAAGAATAGAAGATAAAATTCGTAAGACAAATCTATCAATACCATTTTGTTAAGGGAAAAATCAGAAAAAAGGACAAAAAATCATAAAGAAGCCTAAGATTTATGTGGGACACCATCAAGAAGAATAACGTATGTATGATTGGAATTTCAGAACAGGAAGAGAAAATAACACCAGAGAGAAAACTGTGTAAGATTTGGTGGAAGAGAATTTCCCTAATATGATGAAAGATGAAAAGATATCCACTCAAGAAGTTCAATGAACTCCAAACAGGATAGACCCCAAAAGAAAATCACCAAGACATCTCATCATCAAATTCACCAAAACCAAAGACAAAGAATCCTAAAAGTAGCATGTGGAAAAGCAGAAAGTTACCTACAAGGGGCAACCAATAAGACTAAGCTTGGATTTCTCAGCAGAAACTATGCAGGTGAAAAGACAAAAGGATGGTATTTATAAAACCCTGCAATAGAAAAATTTCCAACCAAGAATTATGTTGTTGTTGTTGCTATATGCCATCGAGTCAAACATGACTCATAGCGACTTCTCCTTGGGTTTCCGAGGCAGTATCACTATGGAAGTAGATTGCCTCATCTTCCTTCCAAGGAGTGGCCGGTGGGTTTGAACCGCCAGCCTTGTGGTTAGCAGTCAAGTGCCTTAGGCACTACGTTTTGAGAGCTCCCTTGAATTATGTACCCAGCAAAATTGTCCCTTAAATATGATGGTGGAATTACGACCTTTCTAGATAAGCAGAAATTAAAGGAGTTTCTGAAAACCAGAGCAACCTTACAAGAGATGCTAAAGACAGTCCTTTGGATAGAGAACCAATAACAGCCAACAACTGACCATTAACACACATGATGACATAACCCAGAAACCAACCCAGTTATAGAAGTATCCAAAGTAAATAAGCCTACAAGATTGTAACAGGAAACTAGAGACATCAATTGACAAATGAAGACAATGATAAACCAAAAAGGGGGAAAAAACTGTGTAGCTACAGAACTTCTAAATGGTAGGGAAGTCAAGACAACTACAAGATAGAATGGACTGTTCTAAACTTGGGAAGAAATTATAAATCACAGGGTAACCTCAAAGAAAAGTGATAAACCTTCATATCAAAATTAAAAAGATGACCAGTACAAATAGTTAGCAAATACTAAAACAATAGCAATGAAGGACATGATAACATGATTCATAAACAAAATGAGCTCAGGACAGAAAATTATATGGAACAAAAAAATCAACATCACGAAAAAGGACGTAACAAAATGACAGCAAGAAATTCATACTTGTCAATAATTACGTATCTGACAAGGGACTTATCTCTAAAATTTATAGAAAACTCCAACACCTCAACAACAAAAAGACTAACATTCCAATTAAAAAATGAGCAGAAGACATGAATGGACACTTCACCAAAGAGGATATTCAGGGGGCCAGCAAATACATGAAGAAATGCTCATGATCATTAGCCATCATAGAGATGCAAATCAAAACAACGAGATACCATCTCACCCCAGCACTAATGGCAAAGTTCAATAAGACACAAAATGGTGGATGCTGGTGAGGATGTGGAGAGATTGGGACTCTCATACATTGCTGGTGGGACTGTGAAATGATACAACCACTGTGGAAAACAGTATGGCGATTCCTTAAAAAGCTGGAATTAGAAATATCATTTGACCCAGCAATCCCATTACTATGTATATATCCTAAAGAAGTGAGAGCCAAGACAAGAACAGATATATGCATACCCATGTTCATTGCAGCACTATTTACAATAGCAATAAGATGGAAACAATCTATGTGAACAACAACAGAAGAATGGATAACCAAACTATAGTACATACACACAACAGAATACTATGCAACCCTAAAGAATAATGTTGTTGTTGTTGTTATGTGCCGTCGAGTCGGCCCCGACTCATAGCGACCCCTCCTTGGGTTTCCGAGGCAGTATCACTACGGAAGTAGGATTGCCCAACCTTCCTTCCGAGGAGTGGCTGGTGGGTTTGAACCGCCAGCCGTCTGGTTAGCAGGCAAGTGTCTTAGCCACTATGCTACCAGAGCTCCCAAAGAATAATGTAGACTCTGCAAAACACCGCATAACATGGATGAACTTGGAGGACATTACGCTGCGTGAAAGAAATCAATCACAGATGGATAAATGTAATATTAGTTCATTGCTGTGAAAAGTCACGGAAAGGTTTATATATGGACGGGAACTAACTTTGTTGGTTACCAGGGGTGGGAGGGGAGTGGAGGGAAGGGAACACTGCAAAAAAAAAAAAAGCATTGACCCATGTCACTTCGTGTATTTTCACTGTACATAAATTATATTTTAATAAAATGCATTCAAAAATCAAATAAATGGTGCCGGCAAAACTGGACGTCCATTTAAAGAAAAATGAAATAGGCTCCACATCTCACACCACGTAAAAAAACCTAAAACCATAAAGGCCATCAAAGAAAAGGTAGGGACAAAATTAGAAGCCCTATTTCAGGGTATAAATACACTATCAAACATAACTGAAAACACACAAACACCAGAAGATAAATAGATGACTGGAACCTACTAAAAATTAGACACTTATGCATATCAAAAAGTTTCACCAAAAAACCAGAGAACCCTCGCACTGAGAAAATAATATTGGAAATGACATAACGGACAAGGGGCTTATCTCCGAAAACTTACAGAAAACTTCAACACCTTAACAACAAAAAGACAAATAATCCCATTAAAAAATGGGCAGGGCACACGCATGGTATTTTAAATGGCTTGGTATTGGCACAATGATAGACACATACACCAATGGAACAGAATAGAGAACCCAGAAGTAAATCCATCTACCTATGAACAGACACTTCACCAAACAAGATATTCAAGCAGCAAATACACACATGAAGAAATGCTCACAATTAGCCATTAGAGAGATGTAAATCAAAACAACGAGATATCATCTCACCCCAGCATTAATAGGAAAGTTCAAAAAAACAGAAAACAATGTTGATGAGGATGTGGAGACTGAACACTCAAACACTGCTGATGGGACTGTAAAATGGTACAAACACTGTGAAAAACGGTATGGTGTTTTCTTACAAACCTGGAAATAAAATACCATATGATCCAGCAATCCCACTACTAGTTACATATTGTAGAGAAATCAGAGCCATGACACGAAGGGATATATGCACACCTATGTTCATTGCAGCACTATTCACAACAGCAAAAAGATGGAAACAACCTAAGTCCCCATCAATAGAGCAGTGTATCAACAAATTATGGTACATACACACAACAGTTTATTATGCAATGGTGAAGAATAATGATGAATCTGTGAAATATTTCATAATACGACTGAACTTAAAGGACATCATGCTGAGTGAAAACAGTCAATCACAAAAGGTAAATATTGTATGAGACCATACTGTAAAAAGGCAAGAAAAGGTTTTCACAAAAAGAGAAATATTCTTTGATGGTTACCAAGAATGGTGGGGAAGGGAGGGTAAACCACTAACTAGAAGGTAGGCACATATTTTCTTGGGTGAAGAGGAAGGTGAAGAAATAAATAAAAATCAGATTATATTGAATAATTGGCAAAGAAGGTCTGACAACTATTGATCAGCTGGGCCAACAAGTGGTAGCTTTCTAGTCTTGATGGACCCCTCCCCTTCCTACCGGGCTGGCCAGGTTTTCATTTTAGTTGTAGTTTCTTTCCTGTTCATTATTTTCTAATTCACTGCAGGAAAACAGTAATGAGGAAACGAGAGTCTGTAGCCTCTGCTTTATTCAAATACCTACTTTTCCTGGTGACTCTAACCTACAAACCTCTCTTTCCTCCTCACCTAGGTCATGCTTACCTGAATCACTCACTTCCATAATTCAAGCAGTCTTGCATTATATCTTTTTAAGCACTTCAGGAATTATCAATTCCCTGAATGCAGTCTAGTAACCAATACAGGACCAGGAACATTACAGGTCCTCAATAAATATACAATGAATAAATGAATGCATATAGGAAAATATCCCCCATAGACTAATTGAATTAGATGTTTATTAAGTATTTAAAACACTTGCTGACCACTGAAATTCTGTGTATCATAGTAAATATTTACAGATATTACTTTATTCCTGAAACAACTCTGAAATTGGGTGCCTATTTAACAGATGACACCACTCATCTGTCAGTCTGTACTGTGGTGGCTTGCATGTTCTCGAGGCTAGAGGCAACACCACCATTATTTCAAATACCAGCAGGGTCAACCATGGTGGACAGGTTTCCGCAGAGCTTTCAGACTAAGACACTTGGAAGAAGTGGGGGGCATCCACTTCTCAAAAGAATTGGCCAGTGAAAACCATATGAATAGCAGTAAAACACTGTCTGAAATATTACTGGAAAACTTTATGAATTGTCCTGAAACACTATCCAGTATAGTATTGGAGGATGAACCCCTTAGGTCCGAAGGCTGAGGAAAAGCTGGCTCCTCAAAATAGAGTTGATCTTAATGATATGGATGTGCTTTCAGGACCTCCATTTGCTGATGTGGTGCAACTCAAAATGAGAAGAAACAGCTGCCAATATCCATTAGTAATTGGAACATAGAGTATACAAAGTACGAATCAAGGAACATTGGAAGCTGTCAAACATTAAATGGAATGCATAAAGATTGATATCCTAGGCATTAATGAACTGAAATGGATTGATTTTGGCCACTGTGAATCAGACAACCACAAGATCTACTATGCCAGGAATGACAAATTGAAGAGGAATGGTGTGGCAATCATCATCACAAAGAACGTTTCAAGAGCTATACTGAAGTTCAATGCTGCCAGTGATAAGATAATATCCATATGCCTATAAAGAAGACCAGTTAATACTACTATTATTCAAATTTACACACCAACTACCAAAGTCAAAGATGCCGAAATTGAAGGTTTTGACTAACTTCTACAGTCTGAAATTGACCAAATATGCAATCAAGATGTGTTGATTATTACTGGTGATTGGAATGAGAAACCTGGAAACAAAGTAGTCAGAAAACATGACATTGGTGATAGAAATGATGCTGTAAATCTCATGATAGAATTCCGCAATACCAATGATTTATTCAACGCAAATACCTTTTCTCAACAACATAAATAATGGCTATACACGTGGACTTCACCAGATGGAGGACACAGGAATCAGATTGACTACATCTGTGGATAGAGGCAATGGAGAAGGTCCATATCTTCACCAAAACCAGGCCAGGAGCTGACTGTGGAACCGACCATCAACTGCTCATATGCAAGTCCAAGTTGAAGCCGAAGACAAATGAAACAAGTCCCATGAGAGCCAAAATATGACCTTGATTATATCCCTCCTGAATTTAGAGACCATCTAAGGAACAGATTTGATACACTGAACACCAGTGACTGAAAACCAGACAAACTGTGGGATGACATCAAGAGCGTCATACATGAAGAAAACAAAAGGTCATTAAAAAAACAGGAAGGCAAGAAAAGATCAGAATGGATGTAAGAATCTGAAGGAAGGTTGGGCATTCTACTTCCGTAGTGATACTGCCTCAGAAACCCAAGGAGGGGTCACTATGAGTTGGACCTGACTCGAGGGCAATGAGTTTGATTTGTTTGTTTTGGATGTCAGAAGAGACTCTGAAATTTGCTATTGAATGGAGAGGAACTGAAGCAAATGGAAGAAATGATAAGATAAAAGAGCTAAACAGAAGATTTCACAGAGTGGCTGGAGAAAACAAAGTCAATTATTATAATGAAATGTGCAAAGACCTGGAATTAGAAAACCAAAAGCAAGCCTCGAGTTGCAATACTGAAAGATTCTATGGGCAAAATATTGATGATGCAGGAAACATCAAGAGAAGATGGAAGGAATACACAGAGTCACTATACCAAAAAGAACTGGTCGATGTTCATCCATTTCAGGAGGTGGCATATGATCAAGACCTAATGATATTGAAGCAAGAAGCCAAAGCTGCACTGTAGGAAGGAAGGCTCTAGGAATTGATGGAATACCTGTTGAGATGTTCCAACAAACAGATGCCATGCTGCAGGCATTTATTCGTCTATGCCAAGAAATCTGGAAGACAGCTACCTGGCCAACTGACTGGTACATATTTGTACCTATTCCAAAGACAGGTGATCCAACAGAATGTTGAAATTATCAAACAATATCATTAATACCACATGCAAGTAAAATCTTGCTGAAGATAATTCTAAAGTGGTTGCAGCAGTATACTGACAGGCAACTTTCAGAAATGCAAGCTGGATTCAGAAGAGGATGTGGAATGAGGGATATAACTGCTGATGTTAGATGGATCTTGGATGAAAGCAAAGAATACCAGAAAGATGCTTACTTGTGTTTTATCAATTGTATGGATCATAACAAATTATGGATAACATTGAGAAGAATGGGAACTCCAGAACACTTAATTGTGCTCATGAGGAACAAACAAATAGACCAGGAGGCTGTCATTTAAACAGAACAAGGGAATAATGCATAGTTTAAAATCAGGAAGGGAGTGCATCAGGGTTGTATCCTTTCACCATACTTATTCCATCTGTATATTGAACAAATAATCTGAGGAAGTTGGACTACATGAAGAAGAATGTGGCATCAGGATTGGAAGAAGACTCACTTACTAGCTGTGATATGCAGACGATACAACATTGCTTGCTGAAAGTGAAGATGATTTGAAACACTTACTGATGAAGATTAAAGATTACAATCTCCAGTATGGATTATACCTGAAGATAAAGAAAACAAGAATCATCACAACTGGACCAATAAGCAGCATTATGATAAATGGAGGAAAGATTGAAGTTTTCAAAGATTTCCTATTACTTGGCTCCACAATCAACACCAATGGAAGCAGCAGTCAGGAAATCAGACGACATATTGCTCTGGCCAAACCTGCTGCAAAAGACCTCTTTGAAGTGCTGAAGAGCAAAGCTGTCTCTCTGAAGAAAATGGTGCACCTAACCCAAGCCATGATAATTTCAACTGCCTAATAGGCATGTGAGAGCTAGACAATGAATAAAGAAGACCGAAGAAGAGTTGATGCTGTTGAGTTGTGGTGCTGGTGAAGAATACTGAAAGAACCATGGACTAGCAGAAGAACTAACAAAATCTATCCTGGAAAAAGTATAGCTGGAATGCTCCCTGGAAGGGAGAATGGCCAAACTGCATCTCACCTACTTTGGTCATGCTGTCAGAAGGGACCATTCCCTGGAGAAGGATATTATGAGTGGTAAAGTGGAGGGTCAGCCAAAACTGGAAAGACCCTCAACGAGATGGACTGACACAGTGGCTGCAACAATGGGCTCAGGTATAGCAGGGATGGTGAGGCTGGCTCAGGACCAGGCAGTGTTTCGTTCTGTTGTACACAGGGTCGCTATGAGATGGAGCCAACTCAACGGCACCTAACAACAAATAGTAACAACATTTAACAGATGACAAAAGTGAGACGAGGAGTGGTGAAATGACAGACTAATTCATGTCAGAACTGGGAGTCAAGCCTAAGTCAGACTAACTGCAAAGTTTTTGCTCTTACCCATTCTATGTACAGTGCTCAATTCTTCTGGGCAGGAGGTAAGCTTTTAATATCCATCCACCCAGGACCCCAGAGGACTACTAGAGGCAACATATAGTGGTATCCATCCTATTATAAAGCAGCTCACTCTTACATGTCTGGCTTTCCATGTGGGCTAATTCATGTCCAATCAATATGTGAACAATGCCACTGAGATGAAGTGCAGGGCCTCAGTTAGGAGAATGAGCTTTAGGACCAGAAAATTGTATGGTAAGCCCTGTTTTGCCAATTACAACTTGTATGACCTCACACAGGTTACTTAACTTCTGTGAGCCTTGGTCTCCTAATCCACATAACAGTAACTGCTCCACAGCTAATGGCAAGGAATAAATTAACATATACATACACCAAATTAGCACAGGGTTCAAAACGTAGTAAGTACTCAATTAATGTTCATAATGATTATATACAAATGTAGTCTAATCTTACAGTTGATGTTATAAATACTTATTAGGCATTAGTTATGTTTGAAGCATTATTTTAAGGTAGGTTTTTTATAGCAGCATAAAGCAAAGCCGAGGTAAAATACCGACTGCTGACTGGCAGGGCAACTGTGTGCACTCACCACAAGAGACTCCGCTGTCTAAACTCCAGGGCTGTGGTCTGCATTTGATGTTTAGTCCTCCGAACCACCACGTAGATCAACCAGGACTTCCAGGCTTGGTGCATCTTTTGCTTTGCATCTAGATGCACCAAAGAGATTTTTTAAAAGGGGTTGAGGGGAGGTGAATGATTCTGGGTTATGATCAAAGCTCAAGTGCTCTCCATACTCATCCCTCCTCTAAACATACAGATCCCCCCAGTCTTCAAGTGTCCCCTGCTGGGAAAGTTGCAAACTGTAACAAAATTAATGGGGATGTAAGGAGCTCTGGTGGCATAGTGCCTAAGGCATGTGACTGCTAAGCAGAAGGTTGGCAGTTCAAACCCACCAGCCAGGAGGAGTCAGAAGGGAGATTGGGCAATTTACCTTTGTAGTGATACTGCCTTGGAAACCCAAGGACGGGTTGCTATGAGTCGCATCCATCTTGATGGCAGCGAGTTTGGTTTTTTTTTTTTAAGTACACATGAAGAACGTTAAGTAAGTGATAATATTTGTAAAATGTTTTTTAAAAAAATAAATGTACTATAACGGTCAGAAATACAGACAGTTCCTGGGTTGCAAATGAGATCCACTCCTGTGTCGTTAAGGATTTGCAGGTAAGTCGGAATATGTGCATACAGTTGTTCTTCAACCTTACTTTAGTGCAAGAAGAGGCTGGAAGCCTTTTCAGTGATTTAAAAGCTCCACATGCAGCAAGTGACTGTGATAAAGAATTTGTTGCAGTTACAGGTTGGTTCCATGGTATCAAAGTGAAGGCAAATTTACATAACATTAAAGGGCAGGTGATGTTGTTGTTGTTGTCATGTGCCCTTTGGGTTTCTGAGGCAGTATCACTACGGAAGTAGGATTGCCCAACCTTCCTTCCGAGGAGTGGCTGGTGGGTTTGAACCGCCAGCCTTCTGGTTAGCAGTCAAGTGCTTTAGCCATTATGCTACCAGAGCTCTTAAAGGGCAGGTAGGAGTTGTCTATATTTCAGACATTCACAACCCAAGGACTACCTGTAGCTTATTCTAAAAGCCAATTCTTAGATATTACAGACACAATTAAGTGATTAATGCAAGAAGAGAAGTGAGCGGGGATAAAACAAGACTAAAGTTGGATGGGGATGATGCATGAAGTTTACTGCACTGTATCTGTAGATTTAAAATTTTCCATAATATAAGAAGAACTGATCATGTTATAAAACTTATTGTTTGAAACAGTAATTGTGAAGTAGAATAAGCAAGACAAAAAGGAAGGGACATGTGTGCAGAATAGAATGAGAAGGACCATGAATGGTCTTGGAAGGGGGACAATGTACTACGGGAGGATGCATGTCTCCATTTCTGGTAAATTACACTTTCATGATGACAATCACCACTAATGAAGTACATTTCTTTTTCTTTTCAGAACACAAAGGAGAAAATAAAATTATGTCAGCCATTTCAGGGCATTCTCCAAAATACTGTCAATGTGATTATAAATATACTTGATACTTCTTAGTTGTCAAAATCAAATCAAAATACGAAGAAGAGTTTAGCACATAGCTTCCTCAGGCCCACCCCAGACCTCAACAATCAATACACCTCTGGCATTGAGGACTGGCATCGTGCTGGGTCTTACAGAATTTGGGCTCCTGACTCATGAAAGCTGGGTTTGAATACTGCCACTACCACTTACTAGTTAAGCAACCCCATATACATTCCTCATATGAAAAATGGTATCTCCCTTAGAGGTATGTTTGTCAAGGGTGAGATAACCTATGTATCTCCAGGCATTGCCTGAAATAGCTGTCACAGGTCTAAAATAATAATTCTTTTTCCCTTAAAAATTCAAGTTACTTTTCTCCATATTCCATAATAAAGCTGTATTCACTGTAATAATAAATAACAATATAGAACAGCAGAATAAACGTTCTTTCCAAGTACATATGGAAAGGTAGACCATATTCTGGGCCATAAAAATAACTGTAGCAAATTTAAAAGACCTGATATGCTCTCTAATCACAATGGAATGAATTTCCGTAGTGATACTGCCTCAGAAACTGAAGGACAGGTCGCTATCAGTGGGCCCGTAACAACAACAACAACAACAATAGAAAGATAGGGAACATTCCCAAACGTTATGAAGTTAAACAACATATGTCTAAATAATCTAAGGATCAAGGAGGACATTTCAACGGAATTTAGAAAAAGTTTTACACTGAAATGAAATGAAAACACAAAAAGAAAAAGAAAAGAAATAAAGGAAAACACATTATCAAAACTTGTGGGATACGGCTGTTACTGTCGACCACTTGGAGGGGGATCTATGGAGGAGACCCTGGATAGAGAGGGAGAACAATGTGGAACAAAACTCAAAATCATTTGGAAAAAAAAAAGCGGGAGAGGACCCGGTTTGTGGGTCTGACAGAGCCTGGTGGAACCACTGAGACTATGGTCCCTAGCTGCCCTTCAGGTCTGGAATTGAACCCACACCTGTGGCTTCCAGCCAAACAAAAGACAGGCATAGGAGCTGAACATTTACCTGAGGAAGATACACTCCTTGGCGAGAACCAATCCTGGGAGAAAGAAGGGCTATTTAAGCACAGGGAGACAGCTCAGGGGGCAGGGGTGCATAGAGGGATGGACACAGGGAAGAGGTAACTATTGGGAGGAAGTGGGAGGGGAGCTGCTGCATTGTGGTAAATTGTAGCCAATGTCACGAGACAAAGTGTATGTGAACTGCTGTATGCAAAGTGAATTTGAATTTAAGAATTAAATTTTCAACCAAATCACAATTAAAAAAACAAAAAACTTGTGGGACAGTTACAGCAGTGCTTTAAGGGAAATTTAAGCAGCAAATGCTTATGTTAGAAAAAAACAGGAAGGCCTCAAACCAATAACTTCAGCTTACACCTTAAGAAACTAGAAAAAGAGCAAATTAAAACTAGAGTTTGCAGAAGCAAGATGATAAAAATAAAGATAGGAACAGAAATCAAAGAAACTGAAAGCAGGAAAACAATCTATCAATGAAAAAGCTAGTTATTTGAAAATATTGATAATTTAAAATTGATAAAGCTTAGCCTGACTGACCAAGGAAAAAAATCAGAAGACATAAATGATCAGTATCAGGGAATGACAGAGAAGATATCACAACAGAGCCTGCAGACATTAAAACTGTAATAATGGAATACTTCAACTCCATGCCCATTAAATTTGAATAGTGTATCTGAAAGGGGCCAGTCCCTTGAAAGGCACAAACTATCAAAACTCATTCAAGAAGAAACAGATAACCTGAATAGCACTATATCTATTAAAGCACAAGAATTTAAAGTTAAAAACTCTCCAATGAGGAAAATTCCAGGCCCAGATGATTTCACTGGTGAATTTTACCAAACATTTTAGGAAGAAATAATACTAATTCTACAAATCTCTTTCAAAAAATAAAAAAGGAGGAAATACTTCCCAACTCATTTTTATAAGGCCAGCATTGTCTTGATACCAAAATCAGACAAAGACATTACAAGGAAAGAAAACTATAGACCAATATTCGTACTGAATACAGATGAAAAAAGAATCGTCAACAAAATATCAGCAAATGGAATCCAACAATATATAAAAAGATAATACACCATAACCAAGTGTGGTTGATCTAAGGAAAAGTAAGGTTGGTTCAACATTTGAAAATCACTCCATGTAATTCATTATATAAATAGATTAAAGAAGAAAAGCCACATAATCATCTAAATAGATGTAGAAAAAGCATTTGACAAAAGTCATCACCCATTCATGATAAAAATGCTTAGAAAACCAGAAAGTGAAGAAAACCTCCTTAATCTGATAAAGGCTACTAACCAAAAACCTACAGTTTACATCTTACTTAATGGTCAGCAATATATGGTTAAAGACTGAATGTTTCCCCATCTTCGGCTAGGTTCTCTAGAGCAGCAAAACCAGTGAAGCATATATAAGAATATATAGAGAGAGATTTATTTTAAAGGAATGGCTCATGCAGTGGCAGAGGCTGACAAGTTCCAAACTGTGGGTCAGGAATCAAGCTGGTGGCTTCTTCTGACTCACATGGTGCAGGGGCTGATAATCCAAAAATGGCTGGTCAGGCAGAAGGCTGCTGGCTCATGGGGTCCTAGGAACTGGTGAATCCCAAAATCTGCAGGTCAGTCAGCATGCTATTGGTTCAGGTCCCAAGAATCAGAGGTCAGAGGAGGACAAGTCAGAGGCAGGATTGAGAGAGAAAGAGAGAAAGCTTTGCCAGAACAGCCACACATAATGGATGTAGGCCACTACCCCAGGGAAATTCCCCTTTCAACTGACTGGCTGCTCATATCCTATCATAAAATGGAGGATAATTCCATAATATCTGACAAACCACTGAGGATCATGGTCTAACCAAGTTATTTAACACCAGCCATCACACCTCCTAAGATCAGGAACAAAGGAAAGTCAGCTCTCTCACCACTCCTACTCAATATCATCCTTATTAATTATCATACTGGAAGCCCTAGCCAATGTAAGAAATAAACAATATACAGAACTTGGAAAGGAAGAAATAAAACTATCTGTACTCACAGACTCACAGATGACTTGATTATCTACTGGATTCTACCAAAAAAAAAAAAAAACCACCAAAAACAAAAAACTCCTAGCACTAAATAAATAAGCTTAACATTGATTTTGCAATATATACAACCAATATGTAAAGCTACAGAACTATCAGAAGATAGCAGAAACTCTCTGTGACTATGAATTGGTCATTTTACATATGACATCAAAAACACAATCCATAAAAAAAGAAATTGATAAAGTAGTCTTCAACAAATTTAAAATAACAACCAACCATTAATACACAAGATAATATAATCCAGAAACCACAGGTATGGACATATCCAAAGTAAAATGAGCTTACAAGACTGTAAACAGGGAACCAGAGACATCAATTGGCAAGTGAGGACAACTATAAACAAAAAGAGGGAAAAGACTGTGTAGTCACAGAATTTCTAAATGGTGAGGAAGTTAAGAAAGTTGAAAGATAGAATGGACTGTTCTAAACTCGGGGATAAAATTATAAATCATAGGGTAACTTCAAAGAAAAATGATAAACCTT